TTAAATATTTATTTTAGATATTTATTCGAAGGATATTGACGTTCAACTATTTTCTAAAACAAGAATTCAATTGATTATAAAAAATAGCAAAGAATATTTAATATTGAAATATATTTATCATCAAGAAATTTACAACGGACAAGCAAAGATGATCTATAAAAGATTTGTTTAATTTAAAAGAAAAAAAGATTTACAATTAAATCGATTAAATTTCGTTTTGAAGAACAGAAAATTTTGTAATTTATTTTTATGTCTTACTGTATTCGACAAATAGAATTCAATAAAATTATATAAATTTTAATATTGGAAAATAATTCTATCAAAAATTGCAAATGTTTAAACATAATCTAAACAAAACACAATTAAAATTATACAATAAAACAATTAGAATTAAAAATTCTTAAGTATTGCAAATTTAATGCAAAAATTAAACTTAATTCAAAAATAAATAATTCAGTTATTTCATTTAGAATGCACATTGAGAACTAAAAAATTGGATTAAAATACAGTCCCATCAACAATTGAGCATAAAGTTACCTGTTTCTACAAGATAATGTAACTTGCTTATTTAACTATCGTAATACATCTCATTAAACATATGATTATATAGGCGCATGTGACTGTACAGAATATCTTTCATCTAATTTAAACATCTTCATTTTCTCTAGTATTATTATTTACAGCGAAAAATTTCATATGAAAATTAAATAATATTAAATTTTTTGTGTGAATGTATAAACGTCATAAAACATAAAACTTTGTTTTTTTAAATGGAATTTTATATTTTTTAATATATCAATCAATGTTGCTATGTAAAAATATATATATTAAAAATTATTAATTTTTGATAATATTTCAATTTGAATTTTGTTGAAAATCATATCGCATCAAAGATAAGGAAAATATGAATAGATGAGTATCACTTTTTTGTTTCTTATCTCTCATATAATAAATATTATATAATTAAATATATATAATATATATATAAATATATATATAATATATAATATAATA